TTTTTTTTGTCTTCATCTTTATGAAATGACTCATCGTTAGAAGAAGAGATATTCAAGAAAAGAAGGAGAAAAAAAAGGCAAAAACAAAACAAATAAACGTGCTATGTTTACGGAAGTTTTAATGGCAAACAGATAGAAATGGCTTTTTTTGCTTCTGCTTGTGCTGCTTTTTTCTGCTTTTCCATTCTTTTGTAATGGTTTATTGTTAAAAAAAAAGAAAAAAAAACAACAAGAATTTCAGTCCGCCAGTTATCAGTTTTCAACAGTATTTGTTCGGGTGACCAAAGAATTTTCATTATTAGGCGAAGCATAGAGGGATTTGAGGAGGCGTGAGTATGGGAGGGGACGGCGATCTGACACATTTTTGGAAAAACAGTGGCACGTACTTTGGCCTTCTGTATATATCTCTTTCAATTAGTGTTGAAGTTTTTTTTTTGTGTTTATTCAGAACCTTTTGATTTTTTTCTGTTTTATAGTTTGATAATCATAATAATGTTAATGTAATGTCAGCATCAGTGATGACAATAGTGCTTTTTCTTTTTTTTTTTCCTTTTTTGAAAACAGGATTGAATGGGTGGAGAGTTTGAAGACTGGTGGTTTATTTTTGTTTCCCGGTAGATCGGTTTGTTTATAGGAATTTGTTGTTATCTGTTAACAACAGCTTTGGTCGTCGTATAGTTTTTTTGTTGTAACTGTTCGATTATATACGTTTATAAACTGTGTATACCTTGTCTTTTTTTGCTTAGAATATTAAATTCTTTACTTTTTGCAGGCAGAAAAAATACTTATTTCTTGTAAAATTGTATTGATGCAATACGGTTATGCGAAAAGAGTAAAAAAGAATAATCAGAAGGAAGAAATTGGACTGTATTGGATTTGTTGAATCGGTGCAGTTATCGTTATTGTCGATTTCGACATTTCATTTTCATTCAGTGTCTAATCATTGTTTATTACCATCTTCAGTGGTTATTATCGTCGCCAAAGCTTCTGCCTATAATAAACAGGACTCTGGTTATCATCTGTATTCTGTCAGTTTGTTGACTGGTTGCGCTTATTTGTTGTTTGTTGCTGTTGCCGTCGTCGTCGTTGTCGTCGACGTAATCGTTGTGGTCATCAGTGGTCATCCAGATTTATACGGTACCCAACGATGATGGGTCTATTAGAGGCCGGCGGAACAGAAACTACAAATGCAAATGTTTTTGTTGGCGATCATTTGAAAAGTGGTAGCAGTAGTTTGGAATGTTCGGATGAAGCACTACGCAAATTCAAATGCTCGGAATGCCCAAAAGCATTCAAATTTAAGCATCATCTGAAGGAGCATATTCGTATTCATTCGGGAGAAAAGCCTTTTCAGGTATGTGAAACACTTTAAGTTGATTCATCTTTATTAACGGAGTTTTTCTTTCCTGTCATCTTTTCCGTTACCTTCAGCTTCTTTTGCTTCTGTTTTTTGCAACTTCTGGTTGCTATTTGTTTTTTTGTTTGCTGGCTTGCTTGCTTTCTATAAATCTTCCATTTAGTTGTTATTTTCTTTTTCCTTAATTTTTATTTTGTTTTACTTTATTTTGTTAGTTTTTTTCTGTTCAGTTTTTACTGCGTTCAAAAACAACAAACGCATCTTCTTTATTGCTTCACTTTCTATTATTTCCTTATTGAATTACGGTAACTGAAACAACGGGAGGAAAGGAAAAAAACAACAACAATTATGGTTCTTTTATTTTTTTCTAATTAGTCTTAAGTGCTTTTCAATTAATAAAAGTAAAAAAAGAAACTTTATAATCTATTATATGTATATCCTTTGCTGAAGCGGTTTTTGCTTGTTGTTTTTGTTATCGTCGTTGATGCTGTTGTTGTTGTTTCTTCCTCTCCTCTCCTTCTTCTTTTTCTCCTTTTGTCAAAACTTCTTTTCTTTGTTTTGAAAATAATTTTTAGAGTATTTCTGAAGAGGAATAAAAACGATGGTTTTTTTCCTTTTCCTTTCCCTTTTATTTTTCACATGTTTATTTGTTCATAATTGAAGGACGTAATTTTAGTCTGATAAGTTGAAAAATGTAAAAGAAGAAACAAGAGCATCAAAAAAAAATGCAACACAACATAAAACAAAAGTATTGTTAAAGGAATTTTTTTGTTCCATACTGTGTGGTTAATTCACCACTGAACAAAGGTGAAGTTGGCTCTCCTTTTACGCCCATTTTTTAGACTAAGAAATAACAAAATGGTTTGAAGAAGTCATTGGGTTGCTTTTTTTTCGTCTGTTTATGAAATAGGGATATAAGTTGGTTCATTTTTGTCCTCGGATTTCTGTATTTGTTTTTTAGCAGTTTGGGACTGTTAGGAGGGTTCCGTTCATTGTGCTTTTGTTTGCTATTGTGGAAAAAAAGTGAAAGAAGCTTCGGGTCGGTTGACACGTTTGTTAAGAAAGAGGAGTAGGGATAAGGTGGTGACGTCAGGGTATGGTTTCTACAGGATGGAAACTGGTAACAGGGAACAGTTAGCAAACTAGGATTTTGATAACACCGCTGGGTTGGGGAGTTGTCAGGTTGGAAAGAATTGGATGCTGGGTTGCAGGCCTTTAGCGAGAATGTTTGCGAAGCAGTTTTACGTATGTATGTGTATAGTCAGTTAGGTGATTGGATGGTTGGTAAGCAACCAGTATCAGAAAAGTGATCCGGTGGCTATTTGTATATTTATATGTGTATATACTTCTAAACATTTATTAAGCTGAGCAGATTATTATTGTTATTATTAGCGGTAATGGTGGAAGAGCTGTTGTTATTATTATTTATCGTTATCATTATTATTATTATTTTTGATCGTCGGAATATGAGTAGTATTTTATTGTTTATTCATCGGAGAAAAACATTTTCAGACAGGGAAAGAGAGAGAGAAGAAAAGAAAAAAGGGGATTTTCTTTCATTTTCCAATTTTTTCCAATTTTTTGTGCACTGTAAAAGAGTTTTTCGTTCTTTTTTGTCTGTTCTTTTAGTAATGTTCATCAGCGGCATAATGAGTACATTTCGCAATTACGGTGTGTATATCTGTGTGTTTCTGAGTGTATGTGTTTGTGTATTTGTGTGAGTGTATCGGATCTTTTGGTTCGGAGGTGTCAGATTGCTATATAGATAATCGCCGTTAAAACTTTGATGGAAAAAAGCTTGCTAAGCTTTCAAAAAAACTTCTTTTCTTTTTGTAAAAAGGAAGAAAAAAAGAACTATTCCTACTGATTATCACCTTACTTTATTATAATGTTTCTTTTTTTTCTTTCTATTTTCGTTTTCGACGAAAGAATTTTTTTATTGGTTTTTTTTCGTTTTTTAAAACGAACTTAAAAAATGACGGAAAATGCAAGAAAAGAAAGAAGAAGGAAGAGCAGAGAAAGCACCGTCTGCTGTTCGATCTTTGCTGTTTTTCACTGTGTCGCATTCAGAACGGGTCATTGTTGTTTGGTGTTGGTACTGATGGTGAATACTTTTAGAACGGTCATTGATACCAAAGTATGTAACTGCACTTTTTTTTTGTCAGAAAATGCTTTTCGGAACAAATAAAAATTAAAATACGGTTTTTTTATTAGCGAGAAAAAAAGGATGCTGTAAAATTCGCGGCTACTAAATTACATAGATTATTAAGCGGAAAGGTCTTTTTTTTTCGTCTTTCTTTCCATTTATTTTTTTTGTTCTTTTTTTATTTTGATAAAGGAGGAGACTTTTTTTTTTATTCAGTGGTTTTCGATTATCTGTAGTGATGACGAAGATGTTGATAGCTTTGACAAATTAGGAGTATTGCAGGTTTGGTTTTATTTTGAAGCCGATTAAAGTTGAAAGTTTCCAGAAGTTACGGAGAGCGAGTTCTTTGTTGTGTTTCAGAAATAGGAAATAAAGAAAACTATGGAAGATTTTACTTTTCCAGCTGTGAGCACTGCTAAAAGTCCATATTCCTCGTTTGTCTGCTACCAAACAGCATATCATTAGGAAAAACTGAAGGATAGAAATCTCATTTTTGGTGGATCTGGCTTTTTTTTTATTTTTGTCGGATTATAGTGAGATAGAAGTATGGAAGGAAGAGTGTGGTTTTGTTCACAATATTACGATAAGTTACGGTAAGATATAGTCGAAAGAACGGTAAAGCAGTGAGGCATTTTTTGATTGCATATATGGATTCTTCAATGAAGGATACAGAAGATTGCATCGCAGTTTTCGTATCGTACATTTTTCCGCTTCTGTTCCTGCTATTAGTGATATTAGTAAAGAAATGAAAGTGAGGAAAAAGAACGGAAAATCGTCAAGCAAAAATTTTTTCAATTTTATTGTTGTTGATTATTAGAAAGCAAAGGTATTATACCAAACATCACCGATATCTGTAGAAAACAATAAATGTATA